AAGTTTGCTGGATGATCATGCAGGTCTTATTGCAGCTCTGTCTGTGGTTTTTTGTTGGTTTTGTGGTGTTATTTTTTTTTAAGTAGCCCAGCTTCAGTTTCAAGTAGCCTCAGAGGTGGGTTTCTCTCCCTTCCCCACCTGCTCTGGCCTCCACCTCTCTGTGCTGGCCAGGTGGCTACTCAGTGGCCATCTGCTCGATGTGGTCGCTGAGGAGCTTGTATTGCTCTGCAGAGGAGAGAAAAAAGGGGTGGTGGGAGGGTGCTGAAGCATCCCCAACAGGCAGGTGGGCTCCATCCCACTGGGACCCCGGGCAGGGGGTGTGCACATCCCCTGGGCTCATCCCTACCTTCATCCAGATTGCCAATGGTCGCCTGCTTCTTCAGGAAGTCACTGCAGAGCTTCTTGTTCAGGCCAAACGCCAGCATGTTGTGAATGAAGGTGCTGAGGAAGGACAAGAGATGTTCTTGGTGAGGGAAGAGCCAGGCTGCCCTTTCTTCATCCCCCCCCCTCCTCTTCCTCTCCACAGCCCCTTGTGCCAGGCACTGGGATGATGTGGGAGATCCTGCCACGCCTGGATTTGCAATGTAAGGGGCAGGAGCATCAAGCACCCTTGGTGAGACCCTGGCCCAGGCTGCCCAGGGAAGCTGTGGCTGCCCCATCCCTGGCAGTGTTGAAGAGCAGGTTGGATGGGGCTTGGAGCAACCTGGGCTGGTGGGAGGTGTCCCTGCCCATGCAGGGGATTAGCACTAGATAATCTTTAAGGTTCCTTCCAACCCAAACCAGCCTGAGATTCTGTGATCCTCTGTACCAGAAGGGATGTCCCCAGCAGGGGAGCATCTGTCAGGTGTCCCACCACAGCCTACGAGGACAGAGCAGGCTGCCAGAGGGATGGTCCCTGTGCCCTGCTCACCCCAGCTGCCCGAAGGTGATGTTCTCGTTGAAGCGCAGGCTGTCGTCACGCTCCTCCTGTGTCATGTGGCACCACTTCTCCCTGCAAGACACAAGCCCCATCTGGCACCATCACCACCCTGGGGCCCCCAACCTGTGTCCCCACCCCTCCCTGGGCTGAGGACTGGAGGGGACAGGGAGCTTCTCCAGCCACCAGCAGTGCTGGGTGAGCTCCCATAGCTGCACCAACCCGCAGAGCTCTCACCCTGGGGCAAAGCAAGAGACACCCCAAGAAAACATCTTCTTCACCCTTGGCTTTCTCCCAAAGGCCTTAGGAAATAGCACCAGCCTCTGAGATGGCATCTCTCACCTTCTCACGTCACTTGGGTGAGGAGGACAAGTGAGGAAGCAGGAGGTGGCAGCTCTTGGGGGTGCCCATTCCAGCAGGGCTCTGCTGAAGCCCCCCCAAAATTGGGGAGGTGGGGGAAGGGCACCAGGAGGGTCCCAGGCACCTCTCCCTCACCTGCAGCAGGGCTCTGACTCCCCGAGCACCAAGCAAGATGCTTCCCAAAAATACCACCCCCAGTCCAACAGCGTGGGGAGCTGCCATCCCCATGGCCTGAATTCCCCAACCTGGGAATGCTCCAGCCCCCTGGCAAAGGCACCCACAGCATTGCCTCAGGGGAAAGGGGGGGGTGTTGAAGCTCTAGGTGTTCACAACCAACACGAGGAGGTGGCAGGAGTCCCCATCCAGGTGTCTCACTTGGGAATAAAGTGTCAGGGAAGTGTCACTGCAATGCAACGCTCAGGTGGTGGCAGAGGGAGCTCAGTGCATGCACACCAAGGGCATCTACAGCTCTGGGGCAAGGCCAGCCCCTTCCCGAGAACTCAGGTGAGGTTACAGCCAAGGAGAAGAGGAGGAAAAGCAGGAAAAAGCAGGGATAGGTAGAAGAAAAAGAGTTCTATGGAAGGGAAGGAAGAGGAGACCACCAGGAGCGGAGCGCACGCTTGCAGCTTGCCAAGCAGGATGGAAGGAGCTGTGCTGGGGGGAGATGGTGGCTGGGAAGGAGGGGGTCTCGAGGTAAATCCAGGGAGGGCAGCTCAGCCCCAGTGCAGATTCGTGTTGCTGAAACTGGGACAGGATGTGGGCTCAGTCTGGTTGAGCTCACAAAGGGGACCCTCTCCCCACGCAACTCAGCCCAGAGTTGAGAAAGCTGCTGAGCTGGGACTTCAGACTCAGGGATTGAGCTGCTGGTATTTATAGGGCCCTGGAAACTTATACAATATATTTAAAGGGATATTTAGAAGAAAAAAAAAAAGGAAAAAAAGAAAAAAAAGGTGTTATTTCTCCCAGATAAAGCTTACGATGGCAAATAAAAACCATGTCCAAATCTGGAGGCTGAAATCAAATTAAGGGGCCTTGAAATCTGGGAAGCAAAACTTCACAGATCTCACTGGCCCACTTACAGAAGAACACGTTTGTAAGTGTTATTTTTTTCCTGCTTTTTTATGGTTTTTGAGAGAGGAAGGAGAAAAAAAGAGTTATCAAAGTGCCCAAGAAAAATTCACTGTGCTTCTGGCTTGTTAGTTGGGAATAACATGCCTGGAAAGGGGGGAAGTCCACATGTGGCTCCACTCAAACCCTTTGATCCTTCTACTAGCACGATGGGGCAGGCACAGGGGGCTGTGCTAACACCTCGCCTGTATTTCAGGGTGTCCAAGAAAGCCTCAGCATGGCCAGGAGCTGCAGAGAACCACGTCAGTGGGACTGGCTTGGATCACTCAGCATCACCTTCCACCTCAGCCGTTTCACCCTGCACAGTTATCCTGAGCAATGCTCTGCTGGAGCACAATTGAACTCCTCCATTTGCTGCTGCGTGCCTAAACCACACAGAAGATTTACTGCCAAGCTTCAGAGAGCCCTCATCCTCCTGCTCATGCCATCACTTCGAGTGATTTGCTCCAAGATGGGACTATCCCATGCTCCAGCAAGAAAGCAATGACTCTCCCCTGGCTCCCTGCTCAGAGCCTGGATGGACGTGGCTGCTTTTGAGCTTTGCAGCCCTGAGGACACACTCACCACGGTGACATGCAGCCCCTGTTGGCATTCTGGTTTTTATCTAGAGGTGCAGCACAAGAGTGCATTAAAAAAAAGATGAAGAACTAGAGAGAAGGGCCAGGTTCTCCAGCTGGCACAGGATCCTCACAGCAGAAGCCGGGAGCAAGCAGGAAGGACGGGAGAGGGGGATGATTTCTCAACTAAGAAACCCAGTTCATGTCCAAATCCTGCCCAGGGAACTGTTCCTGGCACAAGCCCTTGGCTTCCCCAGCAGATGGGCACTTTATTCGCACAGTAAAATATCTCAGCTTGAAACCACTCAGGTAGCTTTTTAAAAAGCCACATCAGAGAGGAGCCAATCGAGCCCTTTGAGAGGATGATGCCCATGAAATCTCTGCCCGTTCCTCCCCGGTGGAAAAGGGCCCTTCAGAGCCCCCCTGAAATGCACTGTCCCCCCTCCCCAGGGCAGGATTTTGGTCCTGAAGTGAGCATTGACCTCTGGACACTGATGCACCGAGCACAGGGACAGACACACCTCTTCTCCTCTTCCTCCCCAGCGTTCCCTCTGGAGCGGCAGCAGAAACGGGGCCGACAAAAGTGGCGCGTGAAAGATCATGCAGGACAGAGGGATGGAGGGGAAAGGAGAGAAGAAGAGATGGTAGAAGGTCGTTAGAGGCAGAAGAGGAAAGAGAGAGAAAAAGAGGAATTTAGTTCAGGTTCCTTCCCCCCATCCCCTGGCCCACCCACCCAACAGGAGATAAAACTTCCCTGATTACGCCCTGGCTGTTCCACAGGGATGGGCATGGTCATGGGCAAACCCACCACCATGGACCCTGCAGACACCTGCCATGGGCAAACACCATCCTTGGTGCTTCAAACCCAGCCCACAAGACACCAGCCCTCACCAACCAGCTCCTCCTGCCAGGGATTTTAATCCTCAGTCCAGCAAGCCACACCCCAGTTCTCCTGGTGGCTTCCAGTGTCCTCTCCAAAGGACTAAGGAGGGGTCACCATCACCTTCCAACCCCCCTGAGATGCTGGGAGTACTCCAGGCTGCAGATCCCAAAGCTCATTCATTAGTCAGGCTTGTTTCTGCAGAGGAGGCAGACTCAGCCATCGGATTAATTGAGAAAGGCACCAGGAGCAGAGAGCAGCTGCTGGTGGCTTATGTCCTTGTGAGACATTTGCTGCTGCTAATTTGGGGCTTAATCAAAGCAAATGCAGCTCTGCTTCCATTACTGGTCGATAGGTTCTTTCAGTGACTTGCTTGGGGAAAAAAAAGAAGCAATAAAGGAGAGAGCAGAGATGGATGGGTGCACAGAGCCTGGCAGAGCAGCCCGTGGTGGGAGCCAGGGCTGCAGCAGCTCAGCTGCAGCTTTGAGAGGGTTGGCTGCTTCCAGAAGTGCTGTCACTGCTCAGAAAAGGGGCTGCTTGAGTGCTCTGAGCTCAATAACCCTCACCCCCAGAGCTCAAAGCCTCAAAGCTCACCCCAGAGGAGTGGACTTGTGGCTGAGAGAGGAGTGAATTGCTCCAGCCCTTGCCACGGGTTCATGGTGGAGCAAGAGATGGGCATGAGCCTGGTGAGCATCTCACCCACCCTTGCACCTTCCCTTTGCAGGGTTTATCCTGATCCTTGTCCTCAGCTCAGTCTCCAGGCTGCACTGGCAGCAATTCCACAGCCCTCATTGGGACAACCAGGACCTAGGACATCCCCCTCCCCATCCTCTGCAGCTCCCCACAGGGCTGCACCAAACATCTTTTCCCAGATCTACTTGCAAATTAAACACCAACAGCCTGAATCCTGGCTGGGTCTTCTGAACACACCTCCAGGGCTTTTTGTTCTTGCAAAAACGATGTAAAATGAGCAGGAAAACTTACCTGCCCCCTCATCTCCAAGAGGATGCAGATCTCACCTGCCCACCCCACAGCCCAGTGGCCCCCAGCAGCTTTCTGGGGTGGAAAGCAGAGTGTTTCCCCATGGTCTGGAAAGCTTAGAGTCACTGGGAGCAACAGTGGGGGGCTGGAGGGGCCACAGCATCCCCTTCTCCCACGGGGACATGTCCTACCTGGTGGTGGGGGACCTCTTCCTGCGCTCGCAGTGCACGGCGTCGAAGAAGGCAGCGTTCCAGAACCTCAGGTTGTGCCTGCAGCGAGGGAGACCTTGGAGCCAGCCACCCCCCAGCTCCCCCAGCCTGTCCCCAAGTCCTCCCAGGGCCAAGCTCAGCCCCTTCCCAGGGGCCAGGAGATGATGCAGCTCTGCTAGATCAGGTCTGGTTTTGGGGCAGCTCCTCAGGGGGCTGCAGACACACTCTTGCTACCACGAGGGACGTGTAAAAGCCTCTTCTAGGGGCAGCAGCAGCTACAAGCACTCGTGAACCTCTGGGGGATGTGTGGGCAAGGAGACAGATACCTTCCCCCAGGAGACAAATGCTGGGCAGGACCCAGCTCACCCCGGGCAGGCTTTACCAGATCGGCTGCTGCTTGAGGTGCATGTACAGGTAGATCTTCTCTCCTTTCTTCTCCTCCTCTGGGCTCTGCACAGAAACTGTGGGGACATAGTTACATAGAATCATGGAATGGTTTGAGTTGGAAGGGACCTTAAAGACCATCCAGTTCCAACCCCCCTGCATGGGCAGGGACACCTCCCACCAGCCCAGGTTGCTCCAAGCCCCATCCAACCTGCCCTTCAACACTGCCAGGGATGGGGCAGCCACAGCTTCTCTGGGCAGCCTGGGCCAGGGTCTCACCACCCTCACAGGGAAGAATTTCTTCCTCATATCTCATCTGAATCTCTCCTCTTTCAGTTTGAAACTATCCCCCTCCATCCTATCATTCCATGCCCTTGTAAAAAGTCCCTCCCCAGCTTTTCTGTAGATCCCTGAGGTCTTCATGACTCCCACCTTCCCACCCATGCTCAGACTGCCAGCTTGGTATCCCAGCAGCCATGATGGCAAGGTCTGCAAACCAAATAGTCATCCCCAACACATCTTCAGCAGCATGGAGAGGACTTCTGGCTTCCCTTGGAGGGCAGATATTAGCTCTGATCAAGCCATGGGTGTCCCAAGAGGATGCTCATGGGACTGGACTGCTGGTTTGGTAGCACACACAGCTACCAGGGAAATTGTTGGAACACAAATGCCCAGAGGTGATGGATGCCTAAACCTCTGCAGCCTGTGCCACTGAAGACAAGATGCTACAAGATGTCCTTGTGGGACATAAAAATGATGATGGCTCCAAAGCAACATGAAGTTGTCTTTGGAGCACTTCTCTAGGAGCTAAGAGGAGACAGCATTGGTCTTTCCCACCCTTCTGCCCACCCCACAGCTCTGGCAATACCAGGCATCTCATACCACTTCCCCAGGGATGCCCTGACCATGCCTACTTCACCAGTATTGGCTCCACTCACCCATCTTCTTCAGCCTCTCCTTTGGTTTGTCCTCACCTTCGCTGCAGCACAGAAGGCAGTGTCAGCTCCCGAGAAGCCTGTCCCCCTGACAGCCCACCCAGCACAACCCTCTTCCCCTTGGCAAGGGGAGCACCTTCCTTGGGAAGACCCCCCTGGATCCCACGCCACTGCCCCCAGGACCAGAGAGCTGGCCAAGAGTCTGTGACATCCATCCCAGTCAGACCCAGCACAGAGATGATGCAGAAGACCACAAAGCAGCAGCACCATCTCCTAGAACCACGTAGCTCCATGGCTAAGGGACACAGGACCCAGAGGTGCCCCAGGACCAAAACATGAAGCATGGCACCAGGATAGAGACTGTCTAGGATAACCCCTGCCTCATGGTGGCCCTACACCCAGGAGGTTGGTCACCTTAGGACTGCAAGGCTCAGCCCACCCTGCCCACCCCATGGAGTGGTACCCACTCGCTCTTTTTGGTGGTTGGACCCTTCAGTTTGGTCTCCAGGCCCCCGAAGAAGCCCTTGACGTTCTCCGTTCTGGCCGACGTGTTTTTCAGCAGCCTCTCTGCAATGTCCTTCTTCTCTGCCAACCAGCTGTTTGCTGACTTCAGGTAGGAGTCAATGCTGCCCATGGGCTTCTCCTTGGCCTCCAAGGGCAGAGCGTGGGTCTTGCCTGCAGGGAACATGCCAGATCAGTTGGCTCTGTGGTTCTAGGCACTGCCAGTGCCTGGGGGACCTGCTCCCAGCTACAATGGAGACCAGGAGCCAGACAGAAATGGCCCAGATCCCATCCCTGTTCTTGTAGGTCTTCATCCTCCCCCAGTCTGGGATAGAAAGTCCAGCTCCCCATGGAGGAGTGACCACCACACACCAAGCAATGACACAAGGGGCTTCTGGGCTGGGGGTTTTGCACCCCATCCCAGGGTTGGGGAACACCTGGGGATCACCACATACGAATATCCCTGGCTAGAAGCAATGGCAAACCAGCACCACCATGAACTGCCACCTCAGCAAGGGTCTGAAGCAGGTTTGCACAGCTTCTGGGCCATGGAGACTCTCTTCCTCTCCATATTGGAGTCAGCCAGAAGGAGCCAAGCTTGGCCACCCATCCATCCCCCTTCCCATGCACAGAGCCCACGTCACCGCCCATCTCCAGCACAAGCAAAGCCTGAAGGTGCTGGTGCCTCTTACCCATGTAGTAGTAGGTGAAACACATGGTCATGAGGTTCTTGGCAGGGCTGAAGTCATCCATCTGGTGGCACCTGACACACAGGGGGGAGGATTTGCTGAAGACACCCACCCACCCAAGCAGCCTCGTGGCTGCTGCCCCTCCTCGAGCCGTGGCTCTGATCTCAGGGGCTTTTTCTGAGGCCCCAGATTCCAACCCCCCTTGACTTACTCAAAGAGCACGAGGGCGAAGGACTGCATCAGGCGGTAGAAGGTCTGCTCCGACACACACCGGGAGTTGCAGCGCTGGTGGCACAAAGCCCAGGGGTTAGCCCAGCTCTGGGGAGCCCAAGGGCAACCTCAGCACCACCCCCACCCAGGACCCCCCACGACAGGGGTCAGGTCTCCCTCTTGGAGGGAGCGGTTTGTCTCTCCGGGTTGTTTTTTCAGGAGGTTTGGTGGGGTTTGGTTCTCAACAAGAGAGATGGTTCCTTCTCTCCCACGGAGCAACACGCACAGATCTAACTGCCTGGAGAAGCATTTATTCACTTCTGTATCTCCCTGGACTGAAGTTCCTCCCTTTCCCTGAGTTCCTGCCGCCCAAAAATACCGCTCTGGGGTATTGTTAAATTCCCCCTGCCTGAGCCTCCTGCTCCCCAGCCTGGGCACAGGGTCCCAGCTCCTTCCTTCCCCCTTACCTGGGCGCTCACGTATCGGGCAAACCACTCCCTGCCCTTCCCGTTCTCGCCGCTGCAGAGCTCTCCAAACCTGGCCTTCTCTTCTTGGTCCAAATCCTCTCTGAGATGGGGAAAAAGGGGGAAAAAAAAACCCAAAGCAAAACAAAGAGAAATCAGCCTTAAAGTTGAGGATGTGACCAGCATCCCCTGCCCAGCCAGCACTGCCCAGGTCTCCCACCCCCCCCTCTCTGCTGTGGTGCCAGGAGCAAGGCCAAGGAAAAGGGGAAAGGGAGCATCCATTTTGCCATCCCTGGGCTTAAGCTGCTTTTTTTGATCCTCCCAAAAAAGGGAGGGAGAAAGGGAGAGCCAAGGACAGCCCGAGCAGAAACTGAGCTCCAGAGACAGGCTCTTTGCCCTGGAGCAAAACCCAACCCCTGTTGCTGATCCTCATGCTTGGTTTGCTCCATCCTGCTTGACACGCTGGGCTGCAGCCTCATGGAGCCCACAGCCCTGGGAGCTGGGGGGGATGTGGGGCTGGATGGAGGGGCCCTGCCAGGGGCTGCCCCTGGGGCAAGTGCAAGCCACTGGCATCAGGAGGAGCATCAGCAGAGATGCTCCATGGGGACAGGAGCTGGAGACCTCTGGCACAGCAAGAGCCCAGGCATGGTGAGACCTCCCCCCTGCATGGTGAGCCCTTGGACTGGGGGAGAGGGGAGAAAGGAGAGGGGAGAAAGGAGAGGGGAGAAAGGAGAGGGGAGAAAGGAGAGGGGAGAAAGGAGAGGGGAGAAAGGAGAGGGGAGAAAGGAGAGGGGAGAAAGGAGAGGGGAGAAAGGAGAGGGGAGGGAAGCTGGGGCTGAAAGATGTGCCCAAAAGGAGGGAAGCTGGGGCTGAAAGATGTGCCCAAAAGAGGGGTGCAAGTCAGAGCCCACAGCCCTTAGCTCTGCTGCTGTGTCACGGCTGGGAGCACCGAGCTACACGCGCCAAGCCTGGGGAAGGACACAAAATGATGCTCCCGAGTGGGAAAGCAGCCAGACCCCATCCCACGGGATGCCCCCTGGCAGCTGCCTCGCCGGCCCCTTCCACTCACCCCCCGCTGAAGATCTTCTCCACGTAGCTCCGGATGAACTCCCGGCGCTCACCCAGCCCCTCGTCCCGGGCCGACTCGGTGCTCTGGCCAGAGGAGAAGGACTCGTTGGAGGAGGAGCGCCGGTAGCCCCCCCAGTGCCCGGGGGAGCCCCCCATGTCATTCTCGCTGTCTGCTGACTCGGTGGCATCGCTCTCCTCCCCGGCCACGTCCCCCGTGTCCCCCAGGTGCCCGTTGCCGCTGGGGACAGCGGGGGGAGGGGGCTCTGAGGGGATGCAGGCATCGAAGTCGATGAGGTTTCCTACGGGCACATCCAGGGGGGCCTCCATGGCTCTGCCAGGGAGTGTGGTGGTGTTGGGGGGACTCAATCCTTGTCCTTTTGTCCCTCACTGGGGTGTCAGGGCCATTGCCAGCAGGATGCCTGGGAGGACGGGCTGGCTAAGGCAGGCAGGTCCTTCTTGGTTAGGTTACCAGGTTATCGCGGAACATCTGAAAGACAGGAGGAGGACACGAGTGAGGAGAGGACCCTAGGGAACCACCACCATGGATCCTGGGGAAAGAGACCAGAGGTCACCACCTACAATGTCCCCAGGATGTCCAACAGCAGCAGGAAGGGACAGGACAGGGAAACTGGGCAGAGCTGGCTGATCCCTCTCAGCCCTGTGAATTAGCAACCCCAGACAGTGCTCCTGTGCTTCCTGCACCATCCAAGGGGTCTTTTCATCCTTTAGCCCCAAAAGGAAACAATTGGACCCCAGCTCCATGTGCCACAGTTGGGATGTGACATAGAGGCATAGAATCATGGAATGGTTTGGGTTGGAAGGGACCTTAAAGATCATCTAGATCCAAACCCCCTGTATTGGCAGGGACATCTCACAGCCTGCTGGGCAAAACTGGGCCAGTGTGAGCCAGCAGCTGGCAAGCACACTGGTGTTCTTCCAGGGAACTCCCAGAGAAGCATCCCTCTCTGCCCTTCCCTCTACTCTGCTTCTGGGTCTGCCTGACCTTGTTCAGGATCATCTCCAGCGAGGAGCACCCCAGTGTTAACCAGGCACTGACTTCAACAGGGAATGGCAAACAGGGATGCTGAGCATAACAGAAACTGATGCAGGGCTCTGGACTGCAATTAGATTCATTAGTTTTGGCTTCCAATTCCATTCTATGGAATCCATAAGGCTGGAAAGGACCTTAAAGATCATCAGGTTCTACATCATGCCCTGGTCACAGCAGGACTTGCTCTTGCTCTGCAGCAGATGTGGTTTAAACATGTCCCATGTCTCCATTTCCCAGCTGTGTCAGGGGATGTGTCCCTCCTAACCTGCAGGGAAGGGGATGGTGAATTGCTACCTCCTCCTGCCCTGGACAGGACACAGTCCCAATGCAGGGGGGGGGACACAGGGGAGGTCATTGCTGCTGGAGGGACAAGGCAAAGTGCCATTTCTCAGGGCTGGCACTTTTCCATGCTGCAGCCACAGAGACCCAGCCCTTGTCTCACCCACCCCACACACGACGTACCCACCAGCACATCCAGATCCCCACAAGCCCCCAGCTCCCTTTGCCCACCCTGCAGCCAGAGCATGGGGTCTGGCACAACCCCTTGCAACGTGGCAGCTCCGGGTCCTGGCACTGCCCAGGGACAGCATCACACCCACGGGTCTGTCCCAGCAAAGCACCAGTGAGAAGTGGCAGGGCAGGCACCGGGCCAGCCGGGCAGGGCTCTGCAGAGGCACCGGGGGCAAAGCTTTGTTTCTGCCAAGGAAAACTCCCTGTGCTATAAGGGAACGGCCTGTTTCCTCCAAGGGAACTGGTCAGTCTTGTTCCCGAGTCCCTCCCACGGTGCCAACACGCAGCCAGTGGGGTCACGGCTGAGGGACACAGCCCCCTCGAGTGCCACATCCCTCAGACCACCCTAAATCCCCCAAACCTCCTCCACGAGTGCCCCCCCCCGACCATCGAGATGCACCAACCTCCTTGTTTACCCAAGCCCTGCGACTTTGAGGAGCTGCAACTCCCTCCCCCCGGCTCTGCGAGCCCCACTCGGCGGTGGATCTGCTCTGCCCTGCTCTGCTCCCGGTGCTGGCGGCAGGGACCCCCTCCCCGTGTCACCGGGGCTGCCTGAGCCCTGCCACTTTGCCGGCAGAGAAGTTACAGCCTCTGCAACTTCCTAACAATCCTTCCCCGAATACCAGGGAGGCCGTGAGCTGAGACGGGGAGGCCCAGCAGAGACCGCACACACTCGGTGCATGCCAGACTCGGCACCCAGCGCTGCACCGAGAGAGCAGGAGGAGAGACCATCTGGGGGGGGTCCCACCCCCCCCCC